TGCTGTCAGAAGTATCCGAACGGAAGCAGCCACCATGCTGCAACCCAACCAGCTGGGGTTTGGAGTCCCCCAAGGCTGTGAAGCAGCGGCTCATGCTGCACGAGCCTACATTAGCTCTCTTACTGAAGACCAGGCAGTAGTAAAATTAGATTTTAAAAACGCTTTCAACTCGGTCAAAAGGGAAGCAATCCTCACTGCAGTCCAGGAACATTGCCCAAGCATTCTCCCGTATGTGTCAGCAGGCTACACCAAAGACTCAACCCTCCTGTTTGGCAAACATGAAGTCACCTCAGCAGAGGGAATTCAACAGGGTGACCCACTTGCACCGTTCCTCTTTTGCATAGCGGTTCGAGAAATTACAACCAGACTGTCCAGCGAGCTCAACATCTGGTTCCTGGATGATGGCACTCTGGCAGGCACACAAGATTCCCTGCTAGAAGACTTACAGCTGGTGAAGACACGGGGGGAGTCCATGGGTCTCGTTCTTAGCCCCTCCAAGTGCGAAATTATTGCATCTAGTGAAGTAATCATTAGAGCAGTGAAATCAGTTCTACCAGAAGCTCAGTCGTTAAACCTACCGACAGCACACTACTCGGAGCACCTCTGGGCCACAATGCCATTGCTGCAGTCCTTGACGAAAAGTTTAGAGACCTAAAGAGGATGGAAGAGAGAATTGGGGACTTGGACTCCCACGATGCCCTCTACCTTCTCACAAAGTGCCTTACCCTGCCCAGGCTAACATACTTCTTAAGGTGTGCACCAACTTTTGGCAACCCACTTCTACATCAATATGATGAGCTCCTCAGGTCAATATTCAGGAAGGCGCTCAACCTAGATTTAGATGACAGTCAGTGGGACCAAGCAACACTACCAGTGAGATTTGGAGGGATAGGCATACGAAAGGCAACTGAGGTAGCACTTCCAGCATTCTTATCCTCATGTACAGCAGCCAACGAATTGGTAGGGCAGATCCTACCAGAGCGTATGAGAGAGACAGCGGGAACTCATGATCAAACGTTCATCGAAGCAGCCAGACAATGGGACACCATTGCACACCCTCAACCCCGACCACAAGTCCCAAAAGACCACAAGCAGGCCCACTGGGATAGCCCCATAATGGAAAAGACTGTCACAGCAATGATTGACAACGCTGATGCTGAAAACAAAGCCCGCCTCCTAGCGGTAACAGCACCCCACGCCGGGGATTTTTTATTTGCTGTACCCAATGCAGCCCTGGGAACTCGCCTCAGTCATGACGCTCTCCGCATTGGAGTTGCCCTTCGCCTTGCCGCCCCCATCCTCACCGAACATAGGTGCATCTGCGGAACTGCGATGGTAGACCAATATGGTCGTCATGGTCTGGTATGTCGTAAATCACAGGGTAAAATTGCAAGACATGAAGAAGTCAACGACATCATCAAGAGGAGCCTCGCCACAGCCCGCTGCCCGGCACAAAGAGAACCACACTTATCCAGACCTAACGACCCTCAGAAGCGCCCTGATGGGGTCACCTTGCTACCTTGGAAGGATGGTAAGCAAGTGGTATGGGACTACACGTGCGCTGCCACACTGGCCAGTACCTACCTCCACTACAGCACACGTGAAAGCGGTGGTGCTGCTTCTTTCAGGGAATCGCAGAAAATTATTAAATACAGAGGTCTAGCACACTGCTACAGCTTTGTTCCGATCGGCTCGGAGACCCTCGGTTCGTGGGGAAAATGTGCATTGAAGTTCCTGAAGGAATTGGGGGACAAATTGATCAGCGCTACAAAAGACCAGAGAGCAAAAAGTTTCTTGTTCCAGCGCCTCAGTGTTGCGATTCAGAGGGGAAATGCCTGTTGCGTCTTGGGCACTAGTCCAACTTCAGAGGAATTCGAAGAAGTGTTTGACTTGCAACAATGATCGAACCCGTCTGTGACATTCATCAATGTTTCCCATTGTTGTGTTCTTCAAGAGATCCATAACCTTTAAGCACCTTTTTGCATTATTATTTTTGTATCAACCCATGTATATCTTGTAAACATCAAATGCATAATAAAGCACAAAAAATATTCAAGGAAGGGGGTGGTAGGAGAAAAGCACACAGAAACTGTATTGGAGGGGATCTAAACATTCCCTCTAATGCGTAATGCGTGGTTTCCTCCGAGGCTATGGGTCCCCCTTCTTCCAGCTAGAGGTGGTACTCCCTTCCCATATAAAAAAAAATATATATATATATATATATATATATATATATATATATATATATATATATATATATATATATATATATATATATATATATATATATATATATATATAAATATCATAAATGAATTAGGAAAAAAATTATAAGCCTAATATATATATATATATATATATATATATATATATATATATATATATATATATATATATATATATATATATATATATATATATATATATGTCGTACCTAGTAGCCAGAACGCACTTCTCTGCCTACTATGCAAGGGCCAATTTGCCTAATAAGCCAAGCTTTCCTGAATTATTATATTTTCTCTATTTTTTTTCTGATGAACTGATAAAGCTACCCATTTCATTATGTATGAGGTCAATTTTTTTTATTGAAGTTAAAATTAACGTAGATATATGACCGAACCTAACCAACCCTACCTAACCTAACCTAACCTATCTTTATAGGTTAGGCTAGGTTAGGTAGCCGAAAAAGTTCGGTTTGGTTAGGTTAGGTAGTCGAAAAAACATAAAATTCATGAAAACTTGGCTTATTAGGCAAATCGGGCCTTGCATGGTAGGCTGAGAAGTTCGTTCTGGCTACTAGGTACGACATATATAACATAGAACGTCGTACTCGGCCTACTATGCAAAGCCCGATTTGGCTAATAAGCCAAGTTTTCCTGAATTAATATATTTTCTCTATTTTTTTTCTTATGAAATGATAAAGCTACCCATTTCATTATGTATGAGGTCATTTTTTTTATTGGATTTAAAATTAACGTAGTTATATGACCGAACCTAACCAACCCTACCTAACCTAACCTAACCTATCTTTATAGGTTAGGTTCGGTTAGGTAGCCGAAAAAGTTAGGCTAGGTTAGGTAAGGTAGGTTAGGTAGCCGAAAAACAATTAATTCATGAAAACTTGGCTTATTAGGCAAATCGGGCCTTGCATAGTAGGCTGAGAAGTGCGTTCTGGCTACTAGGTACGACCCTATCTCCACCGAGCACCGGTGTATTTGCGGCCATGCAAGGGCAGACCAATACGGCAGCCATGGTCTCATCTGTCGTAAGACAAAGGGAAAGATTGCCAGACATGAAGCAGTCAATGACATCATCACGAGAAGTTTGGCTTCAGCTGGATGCCCAGCACAAAGGGAACCTCAGTTGTGCAGACCTGACAACAGCCAAAAACGCCCAGATGGAGTCACCCTGCAGCCGTGGAGGGAAGGTAAACAGGTCGTGTGGGACTACACGTGTGCATCCACATTGGCTGATACCTATCTACCTTACAGCGCAGCTGAGGGAGGCGGGGCGGCCACCTTCAGGGAGACCCAGAAAACTAACAAGTACAGGGACCTAGAACGTTGTTATAGGTTCGTGCCAATAGGCTCTGAGACTCTGGGCGCCTGGGGTAAATGTGCACTTAAGTTCCTGAAGGAGCTGGGCGAGGAACTCATTGGGAAGACTAGAGACCCAAGAGTAGCCAGTTTCATGTTTCAGCGCCTCAGTGTCGCTGTTCAGAGGGGAAATGCGTGCTGTATCTTGGGTACGCACCCAACCCCCAAGGAGCTGGACGAGGTCTTCGAACACTGATTGGTATATTGTTGTATAAGTGTGTGTTTTCTGTAAACTGTAGCATTGCAATAAAATCAAGTAAAAAAAAAAATAAAAAAAAATAATAGGGGTGGTAGGAGAGGAAAAGATTAAAGTATTCAGTGAGAATCCACAAGGTCTTCTCTGAACACTATTTATTTTCTTCTTCGAGGATGTGGGTCCCTTTAATTAAACCAGTGGTGGTACCCCTACATATATATATATATATATATATATATATATATATATATATATATATATATTCTTTCACTCCTGTTCTTTCTTTGGCATGCACACGCTCTTACTTGAACAGCTGGTCTATCCTCCTCACAGTGCAGCCCGTCCTCCAAAGATTTTCCTATGTCATGGAACTGTCGTACTAGAGTGCGCTTATCCTAACTTACCTTTGGACAAAAAATAGAAAATTGGACACTATGTTCCGTTAGTTTCATGAGCCGTTATAATTTACTAGAACAAAGATTTTTGGTCTTAGGTAAAGTATATATCAAAATGCGATGTTTGGTAGGATGACTGGTTGATGAGTTACGCTTCAGGCACCTGGCACTCACTTACACCTCACTCTTGTAATTGTTTCTTCAAATATTGCTGTAACTGCTATTGTATATATTTTCTAAATATGTCTAAAATATGAACATTTTGCCGCCATGGTTAGCGTTCATGATTTTGGAGAAATACCTGCGACTAATTTGTGAATTATGGTGTATATAATATGTTTACTCACGACACCCACTAGTGATGTAATGCAGAAATATCATCTGATCGCCAATATTGTTGAATAATATCAACATATTCTCAATATTCATCCTAAAGATAGTATCTCAACAGCAGTTACTCACCACTCTCCCAATAGATAAAATAAATGAGGATTTTCTTTATGCACTCATCAGTAATAATACTAAAGCATTGTGTACTCACTACTCACCACAGATATGTAATGTAGTGAAAACTTTACCTTGTATCCATATGAGCAAATTTTTTTAGCCTGTTTTGAGTACATTTTATATATTAAGAGTATATAAATGCATGCTGCTTTATAAGCTAGAATGAGGCACAACAAACAAGAATGGATGAAAAGACAAAATGAGATAGATAAACATGACACAGATTGTCCCATAGACAGAGTCTGACAATTTTTTTCACATCATTAACACAAAGCTTATTCCATTAGATATGATACTCACCATGCCATGTAATATCTCACTATCGGCGTAGCTGGACTGATCAAATTCAGAGAAATGCTGGCGCTCTGGGTTGGCGAGGTTATAGGGTAGTTGTGAGGGCGGCTGGAGGAGGTTGTGACGGATGTAGTTCACCAGAGCTGGGTCGTCCTGTGCTACTCCTGCAAATGTCTTTGCCGTCAACACTCGCTCCTCCTCCACATATGGTCTTATCCCTGTAGATATATTGATCAACTTTTAAAAATGTAATAATAAGAAAGGTTAAAGTGTCCTTCTGTTTAGGAACTAAGGAATGTAGAGACCATTTCAAACTTGAAATTTTTCACAACCCCGAGAAAGTTAATATAAAAGAATTGATTTAAAATATTGCGTGGGTGATGAATTACTACAAGAACGTTGTACAAAATTTAATATCTTTCAAGTAACAAAAAAAATCTTCTTCACACATGCAGGAGCAAGTGATTGCGCTAGATCGATTTCAGAAGTGCATACTAGTTAGGGAGCACCACCGCAGGAGAGCTGGACTACACTGGGTTCGAACCTATCTTGAGGTTATCTTGGGATGAATTCGGGGCTTTAGTGTCCCCGCGGCCCGGTCCTCGACCAGGCCTCCACCCCCATGAAGCAGCCCGTGACAGCTGACTAATTCCCAGGTACCTATTTTACTGCTAGGTAACAGGGGCATAGGGTGAAAGAAACTCTGCCCATTGTTTCTCGCTGGCGCCTGGGATCGAACCCAGGGCCACAGGATCACAAGTCCAGTGTGCTGTCCGCTCAGCCGACCAGCTCCCTTACCTAACCGGCTCCTCACCTAACACAAAATATATACACAAATTCTTCCTATATATATATATATATATATATATATATATATATATATATATATATATATATATATATATATATTATTAAGATTATAATAATAATAATAATAATAATAATAGTATATATAATAATAATAATATATATATATTATTATTATTATTATTATTATTATTAAGATTATAATAATAATAATAATAATAATAAGATTATTAAGATTAATAATTCTAACACAAATTTTCTCAATATTTCTTATGTTTCTTTTCACTGTCGATGGTAATTGAAAAATCAATTCTCCAAAATTCATTTTTATTTCTAGTCTGACGCGACGCTTGAACGCGTTTCGTAAGAACTTATTACATTTTCAAAGACTTTAGTTTACACACACACAACTATAACCAGCAAACACTAAACAGAGTTCTTCTCTGTTTATGTTTCTATAATTTTAAACAGCTTTCATATTATATACCAGCATTTGGGTGAGGTTAAATGTTACAACAGTTTTGGATGAGGTGAACAAAACTTTCAACACAAGACAGAACACGAAACAATGGGTATATATTGGGTAAATTAACGGGAAGAATGGAAGTAACTGCAAAGGGACTATTGGCCCATATTTCTTGATGCTTTTATATTGGTGCGGAGTCTTGAAGTGGGTAGAATGGGTGGGTATTCTACCCACTTCAAAAAGAAAACATCAGATCACATGAAAAAACATCATGTGATCTGATGTTCCCATCACTGAAATATAGGAAAAACAGTTAAAAATTAAATGAAAATATGAAAAATAAAAAAAATAAACTTTACTCACGAAATGAACGTTATGGTAAACAACACAACTCAATTCCAACGCAATTCACACATTATAATTAAATCAAAGTGAAAATAAATCAAAGTGAAAATAAATATAAATCGATGAAAATTCAATTTATCAATGCAATCAGAAACAATGAAATGGAATTGTAACATATTTAGTATAGCACGTGTGTTGCTCTTACATGCAACAGATGGCGCTGTTTTTCAAGGAAAGCACAGTTTTACCTGTCACAGGTGTGGCATCTATACTAACACTTACGAAATAAACGGTATTGTAAACAACACAGCTCAATTCCTACACAATGTCACACAAAATAATTCAATAAAAAATAAAATATATCAAAATCTATGCAAATAAAATTTATCAATGCAATCGGAAACATTGACATGGAGTTCGTGACGTATTTAGTACTGCGTGCATGTTGCAATTATGTGCAACAGATGGCGCTGTTTAAAAAAAACATGTTTTTCCCTATCATATGTGAGGCGTGTATATAGTAGATACATAAAAAGACGCCCCTATTCAAATGCAATGTTGTGTCAAAATTTCAAAGCAATTGATAAAGTGGTCTCGAAGATTTCCCTCACATGAAAAACACATAAAAAACACAGTTTTTCTGAAAAAGCATGTTTTCTTACCGTCACAGACGTGACATCTATATAGAATGTATATAAAAACCTGGCCGGATGCGAATGGAACGTTGTGTAAAAATTTCAAAGCAATCGATGAAGAACTTTCGAAGATTAGCGGTTATACACAAACAAACATTTCTATTTTTATTTATATAGATTAAGTCATTTCAACGCTCCCTTTAAACATAAGTGGCAGAACTAAATGAACTTTTATGTGGCTAAAACGAGTGCTTGATAAAACCTCCAATGGTTAGCAGATCAACCAGGCTGTGATTCATAAGTGAGAGTTGCTACTGTGGACAGCTTGGTCAACCAGACCACCAACTATATGGTCTGGTCAAAGTCAGTACCATGGGGGATATTGATTCCTGGAGCCATCAACGAGAATGATGCACAAGTTAGTGTGTGATCCAGTTTTGTTATGTCCTGTCGAATTCCAATTGTACATATTGTGAAGTGTTTTTTTAGGGGGGGGGGGACACAGTCTATATTTTGTACATTTCATCCAGAGTAGCTACAAGTACTGTCATTTTGGGTAGTCTAGTCCTTGTCTATTTTACTTTGTTCGCAGGGTCTTAAAGACCTTGCAAACAAACAAAAATGGACCGCTAAGCGCTACTTTTTTCTTGGTACCTGATTAATATTATAATTCTCGCTAGATTATCACCTGTTCCTTTCTAACTTTAGCGAAATGGTTTGTATGTATACTCTTACTGTACATATATCTTGATATGCCTTAAGGTTTGCCACCATGAAATAGTATTTTAAGAACAGTATTCGTGTACATTACAAAGGTAATAGAACTTGTCTGGACATTATCACAACCCACCTGAGATGTACCTCTGGACATTATCACAACCCACCTGAGATGTACTTCTGGACATTATCACAACCCACCTGAGATGTACCTCGGGACATTATCACAACCCACCTGAGATGTACCTCGGGACATTATCACACCCCACCTGAGATGTTTCTCTCAACGTTATCAAAACCTTCCTGAGATTTACCTCTGGATGTTATTACAACCTTCCTGAGATGTACCTCTGGATGTTATTACAACCTACCTGAGATGTACCTCTGGACGTTATCACAACCTACCTGAGATGTACCTCTGGACGTTATCACAACCTACCTGAGTTGTACCTCTGGACGTTATCACAGCCCACCTGAGATGTACCTCTGGACGTTATCACAACCTACCTGAGATGTACCTCTGGACGTTATCACAGCTCACCTGAGATGTACCTCTGGACGTTATCACAACCTACCTGAGATGTACCTCTGGACGTTATCACAACCTACCTGAGATGTACCTCGTTATTCTTTGAACGTGAGGTTTTTCCACAGAAATTTCGTATACAAGGGTGACAACGCTCAATACTAAGAGCAAGAGGACCAAGTTCCGGAAGTACCCTCTCTGGAGATATTGATTCATCCTGTGGACAAATATTTCCAATTAGCATTGTCCACTGGTCACTTGAGTAACACTGAGTTTATGAAAAATATTCATTGAATTGCAACATGTTATTCATTTCCATGCCTTATAGTATATAACGGAAAACGTAGCACATATACTTAAAACGTTATGATTATATAATGCCATACTACTACACCCTTGTATACTACACCCTGACACTTACAGCAACACTATGGCCAAATGTTCGAGACCCATTTGCTTCGACTACTTATGAGGAGATACATGACAGTTTGTGCAGGCGAGTCCAATCTCTAACAACTACATTTGATAGAGACGCATATTTTACTATTGTGTGAAAAAAAGATCGGTACAATAAAATAAAAAGTATTATATGTACAGAACACCTTTACGTTTTGGATGTCGAGTACAGTCAACCAAACCTCAGCAACTTCAACTAACCAACAGAGGTCGGTTATTACTTAGTACTGCCTAACTTAAAGTCCAATTCGACAAACATTAAATAATTACTTATGTATAATACAATCATATCAATATCATGATTAATCTAATAATTCCATTGGAGGTACAGTGGTGGTCAAAAGTATCTTTCAAGGGAATGGGAGGGGATGGGGAAAATGTGGCAACACTGCTTTTTGAAGTGCCAAGTTGTTTCAAGAATTACCACATTTTGTTTTTATATTACCGACAAAGATTGCATTCGTACACGTTAGGCTTATATGAAGGCTTAAAGTGAGTGATATGCTTATAAAAGCTGCATATTTCCCATTTATTATTGAGCAAATTCCAATTTCGTCTCTTTAATTTTGGTTGACAAATGGAATGCATTAGGAAGTAATGTGGTGGAGACTCCATACACAGTTTCAAGTGTAGATATGATAGAGCCCAATAGGCTCAGGAATCTGTACACCTGTCGATTGACAGTTGAGAGGCGGGACCAAAGAGCCAGAGCTCAACCCCCGCAAGCACAACTAGGTGAGTACAACTAGGTGAGTACACACACACACACACACACACACACACACACACACACACACACACACACACACACACACACACACACACACACACACACACACACACACACAAGCTAGGAATTATCTCCCCCAAAAAAGAACTAGGAATCAAAAGGCTGGCATACCGAAAGGGGAATTATGAACAGTTGAGAAGTTTTCTAAGGGAAATACCTAGGGACACAGACCTCAGAGATAAGTCTGTACATGGTATGATGGACTATGTTACCCAAAAGTGTCAGGAGGCAGTAAACAGGTTCATCCCGGCCCAACGGGAAAAATCCGAGAAGCAACAGAAGAATCCATGGTATAATAGAGCATGTATGGAAGCGAAGAAACTGAACAAAAGGGCGTGGAGGAACTTCCGGAATAACAGAACACCAGAAAGCAGAGAGAGATACCAGAGAACCAGGAATGAGTACGTCAGGGTGAGAAGAGAAGCAGAGAAAAGTTTTGAAAATGATATAGCAAACAAAGCCAAGACCGAACCAAAGCTACTCCACAGTCACATCAGAAAGAAAACAACAGTGAAAGAACAGGTATTGAAACTTAGAACAGGCGAGGACAGGTATACAAAGAATGACGAAGAGGTGTGTGAAGAACTCAACAAGAGGTTCCAGGAGGTCTTCACAATAGAACAAGGTGAGGTCACTGTGCTAGGAGAAAGGGAGGTAAACCAGGCGGCCTTGGAAGAGTTCGAAATTACGAGAGAGGAGGTCAAGAGACACCTGCTGGAACTGGATGTTAGAAAGGCTGTTGGTCAAGACGGGATCTCACCATGGGTACTGAAAGAGTGTGCAGAGGCAGTTTGCTTGATACTCTCCATAGTGTATAGTAAGTCACTGGAGACGGGAGACCTACTAGAAATATGGAAGACGGCGAATGTGGTCCCAATATACAAAAAGGGCGACAGGCAAGAGGTACTGAACTATAGGCCAGTGTCCTTGACTTGTATACCATGCAAGGTGATGGAGAAGATCGTGAGAAAAAACCTGGTAACACATCTGGAGAGAAGGGACTGCGTGACAAATCGCCAACATGAGTTCAAGGAGGGTAAATCTTGCCTGAATGGCTTATTAGAATGCTGCGACCAAGGTGACAAAGATTAAGCAAGAAAGGGAGGGCTGGGTGGACTGCATTTTCTTGGATTGTCGGAAAGCCTTTGACACAATACCGCATAAGAGGCTGGTACATAAGCTGGAGAGACAGGCATGTGTAGCTGGTAAGGTGCTCCAGTGGATAAGGGAGTACCTAAGCAATAGGAAGCAGAGAGGTACGGTGAGGGTAAGACCTCCGATTGGCGTGAAGTCACCAGTGGAGTCCCACAGGGCTCTGTACTCGGTCCTATCTTGTTTCTGATATATGTAAATGATCTCCCGGAGGGCATCGATTCATTTCTCTCAATGTTTGCGGACGATGCCAAAATTATTAGAAGGATTAAAACAGAAGGGGCCTGTTTGAGGTTTCAAGAAGACCTAGACAAGCTTAAGGAATGGTCGAACAAATGGTTGTTAGATTTTAACCCAACCAAATGTAATGTAATGAAGATAGGTGTAGGGAGCAGGAGGCCAGATACAAGGTATCATCTGGGAGAGGAAATTCTTCAGGAGTCAGAGAAAGAAAAAGACTTGGGGGTTGATATCACGCCAGACCTGTCTCCTGCAGAACATATCAAGAGGATAACATCAGCGGCATATGCCAGGCTGGCCAACATACGAACGGCATTCAGAAACTTGTGTAAAGAATCATTCAGAACTTTGTATACCACATATGTCAGGCCAATCCTGGAGTATGCAGCCCCCGCATGGAGTCCATATCTAGTCAAGGATAAGACTAAACTGGAAAAGGTTCACCACCAGACTAGTACCCGAGCTGAGAGGTATGAGCTACGAGGAGAGACTACGGGAATTAAACCTCACTTCACTGGAAGACAGAAGAGTTAGCGGGGACATGATCACCACATTCAAAATTCTGAAGGGAATCGATAGGGTTGATAAAGATAGGCTATTTAACACAAGGGGCACACGCACAAGGGGACACAGGTGGAAACTGAGTGCCCAAATGAGCCACAGAGATATTAGAAAGAACTTTTTTAGTGTCAGAGTGGTTGACAAATGGAATGCATTAGGAAGTGATGTGGTGGAGGCTGACTCCATACACAGTTTCAAGTGTAGATATGATAGAGCCCAATAGTCTCAGGAATGTGTACACCTGTTGATTAACGGTTGAGAGGCGGGACCAAAGAGCTAGAGCTCAACCCCCGCAAGCACAACTAGGTGAGTACACACACACACACACACTCTACCTGTTGATTGACGGTTGAAAGGCGGGACCAAAGAGCCAGAGCTCAACCCCCGCAAGCACAATTTGGTGAGTACAATTAGGTGAGTACACACGGGAAACAGTCCTTAACAGATCTCTAACTCCCAGGTACCTATTTACTGCTAGGTAACAAGCGCATCAGCGTGAAAGAAACTCTGCCCATTTTGTTTTTGCCATCACCTGGGATCGAACCTAGGATTACGAGTCCTGAGCGCTGTCCACTCAGCTATCAGGCCTTAGTGTGAGTGTGTGTGTGTTCGGTCCCGGGCGCCGGTGAGAAACAATGGGCAGAGTTTCTTTCACCATATGTCCCTGTTACCTAGCAGTAAAATAAGTACCTGGGTGTTAGTCAGCTGTCACGGGCTGCTTCCTGGGGTTGGAGGCTTGGTCGAGGACCGGGCCGCAGGGACACTAAAGCCCCGAAATCATCTCAAGATAATCTCAAGATAACCACAACCACTTCCTTCCCTAATTAACTTCGAAATATATAAATTCATTTACGCTGGAGATACTTAGCCAGAGCCATGCATGCGCAATTGGGGGGAAGGAAGAAGGAGACATGATGCCATTACCAGCATGCAAAGAGTTACTGTGTTGCAAAGTTTCCACTAAACGACTCAGATTTACGTCACCGTTGCATCAGCGAGGGCCAGAGTTCGTGGAGATTTTCATCTGCATTCAACACAAGTTCCGGCGAGCATAATATCCTTATTGTCCTACTGATATTTCTTAAAAAGTGCACTCTATTAATATTTTCTGTGTAGGTTGCTCGTACGTTAAGCCACGCGATAACAACATATCCCTTGTTAGTTTCATTTAATTCTAGGTTTCCACTTGCAATCAGAAATAGTGGCATATTAAGTCTAGCCTAGACAATTTGTACATTTAATTTTGCTTTCAGCTGGAGTAGTAGCAGTGAGAGGAGAAGAATAATCTATCATTCCATGTGCATGCCTGGACAGCGTGTTGCAACAAGTGTGCCCTCGGGACCACCCCAAACATTATACAATCAAACCCACGAAACCGATAAGCTGAACCTACATTTATAGTTTTGTAGTATTTTTGTAGAGTATTAACAGTTAAACACATGAATAATTTCTATTGAAAGTGTCATTTATTATCATTCATGTTTGCTTATATTATTTACTAATCCCATTTCATATCTTGACTCTATGATTATATACTATAAAATGAATTTGCATTTATATTTCTTTTCTAACTGAAGAACCAGAGTTAGATTATTTGTGCTAGGACGTATTCGTATCTTAGCGCTCGTACCCCCCAAATTGTGAAAGAGAATTTTGCTCCTATTTTCATGATAAATTACAGTCCCGTTAAGATCCATAGGACACCAGTTCTTGGTATCAATATTAATCCATTTGCTCATTTATGTTTTCCACTTTTTCTCAAAAAGTGGTTGTCCTTCATAGCTATTGAAGTTTTCCTTTTAATAAATTCAAATATTGGAGTCAGATTTTTCCCAAACCCCGCAGATCCCCCCAGACCCCCAGAGAAAGGGTTTACTCTGGCGCCAGTGTTTCCTTGAAGAATCTCAAGGTTTGGCACACCAATGTTGTTGGGGTATGTAATAAAGCAAAAGAGATAAAAGAAAGAGTTAGGGAGGCAGATCCTGACATAGTTGAAATAGAGGAAACTGAAATAAATG